CGATTAAGCGCTCTCGTTTTACTACTCTCCTCTCCCGACGCTCTACTCCGATTTCCCGCATCACTCTTTCTCCATTTGTACATAATATAATCTGTGATTCCTTGAAATATATTTTTATAACACTAAGTTTTTGATCACGCGCGAATATGCGATCAATTTCTTTGTTTCGATTTTGTTCTGGATCCTATCGTCCGTATCTTTAATCCCATTCGTCGTAAATGTACAGTAATTCCTCGTTTCATTTGGCTTCAGTTCCGATGATGAATCGTCCTTGAGATCGCTTCTCGAACGACCAAGTCTCGAGCCTTGCGTGATCATCTAATTTCATTTGACTGACTGAGATTTATCTTCGACGCTGATAATTATCCTCTCGAATTCTCTTATTCGTTCTTATGATCATTTTATTTTCAGAAGATGTCGGAGAATTTTATATGTAAAAAGAAAACAATTATTTATTTAAATTACTTTAAATTATTAAATTACGCTATTTTATTTGATGCCAGTCCCGCGCAGGTCGCACGAAACGAGGAAATACTGTATTGCGTTTTTTTTTACGCAGGTCCTTCAAAATTTTTAGTAATACGTTCTAAATACTGTGCGCAAATTATATTTGCGATTATGCGTTCCGACGTGTTCATAAATCAAGTCACTGGTAAACGAAATTTACGTCGTTGTTTGGTACCGCTCCCCGTATCTCTCGTCCTGCGTAAATGCCATTGCGACTGTCAGTGCTTGATCTAAATATCTAGGACAGTCGCCGATTATCGCGCGAGGTGAAAACATTTCGCGGCTCTGGCGATGTAATAAATTGCATGTGTAATGGAGGCAGAACTATAGACGCGAATTAACATACACATCCGCATTAGCTTTAAAAAACATTTTGCGATGACTCGGCTAATGATGTATTGTACTGTTGATACATGGTTTGCGCGATGGAAAGTAATTAAAAAAAGTAATAAATTGATATACATTTTTTTTCCTATGTGTTGAGAGATTTGAAGGAAAGAAAAAGAAGAATTATTGTAACTGTATATTACATTATTTAATCTTGCGCATTTATATACATCTTTATTATAACTGATTACGAATAAACGAGAAGAGAAAAAAGATAGCGGAACTTGCGATTTATTACTCTGCGATTATTCCGCCTCAGGTCTGCGTTCGAGAACGAAGGCCCCTTACGCTTTTTTCGCCTCTATCGGAGTTAATCGTTACATGAATAAACGTTGACTAACGTAAATGATGTCATGCGGTATTCAAGCACCACATCCGGCGGCGAAACAAATCAGTCATTTCGCAGTTTTCTTACACAGGTCACGCGAAACCTTCTTAAGGATATTCCTAAAAAAAAATGTTACGTGCGAGTTTAATCTTCATTTTAACAATCGCGCAACTCAACCCGTTGGCGTATAATATCGATACACTCAATGCCAAGGTGTACGATGATCCTACGCGCGTATCTGGCGAGCGTCACAGTTACTTTGGATTTTCGGTGGCCCTTTATACGAGTGCGGAGGGGCCTCTGCTGCTCGTGGGAGCTCCGCGAGCGAACTCCAGCGAGTTGCCGTTTGTGACCGAACCGGGAACGGTCTTCAAGTGTGCGATGAACGGCGTATGCGGAGAGTGGATGATCGACAAGACCGGGAACGGTCCTCATCCTCGTGAGACGCTGATCAATCAAATCAAGGATAATGCCTGGATCGGTGCGACCATCGCCGTAGAAAACAAGACCGAGCCCAGAGTTGTGGTGTGTCAATATTTCTTATCCTTTCGCAATATTTTTCAGTGTCAATAATCAATATTTCTTTCATTATCAATAACTAGCCGTGCATATTTGAAAACTATTGCGTTTCAAATTTTGATTTAATCTAACATCGAATTTTCCCTATTGGAAGATTTGATGCAAAGACACTTGATTATCTAAAAATATTTAAATTACATATTAAAAGATCTGTCTCTCTCACTCGATTAATTATGCGTACGATTAATTAAGTTTCCGAAACTTCGATAAACAACAGGAACATTTAATATCGAAGAAATAAAAGATTTTTAATTCTTAAAAATCCACTATTTTTTATCAAATTAAAAATAATAATTGCTCACTTATCTTTTTGTAAAAAACACTGACTCCAACTTTGTCAGAATACATATTATGATTTATATATACATATGTTATTTATAGTTTATTTTAAAGATTATATTAATTTTATTTATTCGCATATATAGCCCTTAATTATATTAATTTTGAATTTGTTTGTTAAATTAAAATTATTTAAGATAAAAAAATTTAAATAATTTAAAATAAAAATATTAATTTATGGAATTAAAGAAATAATTTGTTAAATAATTAATTATTTATTTATTTTATTTCTTTTTAATATTTTTATTTTTTAGATTATATTTATATTTATTAGATTTAGGGATTATTATAGAGAATGATTATTATTTAGTTTTAATTCAATTAATATATAGTTTTATATATTAATTGATTGAGTGTCGCGTTTGTTTATGGGAGTACAAATAAAGGAATTTTTATTTATCGATTTATTAAATTAATCATTTTTTTAAATTTATTTTTTCAATAATATTAATAATTATTAAATTTAATTAGAATTTTATTTGGATCAGATGGTTTAGGATTGACTTCTTGTTGTTTAGTATTAATTTTATAATCTGCGGACAAAGAAAAGTAATGATAATTCGAAAACTACGTATAATTATTATTGCGTGAAACGTACGATTACTTTGAAAATTAAACGATCTCTCTGGATAAAGTTTCCAAAATTTAGATCAATACAAATAACAAGAGCTCTTTTCGTATCACGCTAAACGACCTTTTAATAGAATGTCAATTAATTGTTAAATGTCTAATATTAAATATATTGAATATCCCCAAAAAATTAAATTACAAGATTTTTTTAAACATTTCTTTTACTTCTCATTTTTGTCTCTCTGTTTTATAATTTAACAAATAATTGCTTCGAACGAAGGTTTGCGGACCGCGATGGATAAACAATATCGTGAACGGCAACAGGCCCAATTGGTTCATGAACGGTATTTGCTATGCGACACGAGCCATCAACGCTACTGCATTCGAGAGAGAGGCGGAGGAGCGATTATTACCGCTTTCGAACCCCGAAAGTCAGATCACGTCCAAGAACGACATAGGCATCTATAACTACGGGGTGGGCCAGGTTGGCTTCTCCTTGCACGTGAACTCCCCGAGATACAATGTGAGCGTGGCGTTGGGCGCTCCAGGCGTATACAATTGGAAGGGTCATGCGTTATTAATTACCGCCTCGATAGACGAACCATTCTCGCGTAGGATAATTCCCTCGGTCGCCAGGGAGCAACAGGTTCACAGCTACAATTATTTCGGTAAAGATATATCTCTTATCGCTATCCTCCTTCCTCCCCTCCCTAAAGGTAGCGATGACCGAACCAGTTTTGCTGATCACTGTATAAAAATTGGGTAAATATAGCGAATAGGGGACCCAACCCCAATGACCTTGACCTTGACATATGTTGTCAAGAACATAATTGAATTCTTATGATGACACAGTCTTGTTTAATTCCATGCGTAAAGTTTTTACTTTTCAATATATTAGTACAAATAATAGTGCATTTCGTTAATAATACAATGCATTTGCACGAATTTCTTCATTTAACATATAATTATGATGCTCTAATACAGTATCTTATTGATAAACAAGTTATTCGTGATAATATTCAATGTCCAAAATGTAGAAATATTATAACTTATACAAATATATTTAAAAGCTTTATCATGCATTGCACTAATAAATATTATAAGACTATATCTGGACGAAAAAGACAACGGATAACATGCAACTTTAAAATAAGTATGTTGAATAACACTTGGTTTTCTAAAACTCATTTGGATATGGTAAAAATTTGTCGGTTTATTGGATATTTTTTAATAATTAAACCACCACGACAATCTCTTATATGTAATGAGTTGGAAATACATGATAAAGCTGTTGTTGATTGGACAAATTTTTGTAGAGAGGTATGTAAATTAATATTTGAATGAAATATTCGGGTATATGTTTATATTTGTTACTTATACATGCATTTTTATATTTTTACTTTTTTAATATTTAGTTATTATACTATTTTATGTTTATTTTTTATTATCTTCTGTACTAGTGAATTCTTATGATAACAGTCTTGTTTAATTCTTCTAAGCGTAAAGTTATTACTTCTCAATATATTAGTATTATATATATAAAATATATGTAAAAACTTGTGTTTATTTCAGTTTATACGTGTAGTATACGTAGGACTATTTCTGTAAATTAACTTAAATATCCAGTTTTTCATTGTCAGACTATGTATAAATCTTGATTTTTACAAATGTCTGTTTGTTAATAACTTTTTAATAAGCAGCGAGCGACGATTAAATTAGAAGAAAAAGTTACTCAGAATTATGTCCTTGATAACATATGTCAAGGTCAAGGTCATTGGGGTTGGGTCCCCTATTCGCTATATTTACCTAAAACTGTATTATTTATTTTGTAATTTAAATAATAAAAGTAGAAAAGATTGTGCATGACAATTGAAATTATTTTAATTTAATAATTTTTTTATTTAATAATTTTGCGCTTATAAATATCTATTTTATTTTAAGAATGAGTCAAGTTTAACCTTCTTTACATTCGTTTTCTTTTTACGTGCGTTTTTTAAAAAGAAATATTATATTTGAAATATTCGTCTCTATCTCTGTCCCTTTTTCTAAAACGTCATCTTTTTGTAGAAAAATCGTCGAAATTTTCAGTAAATAGAGAGTATGAGATTTTTGTTTCTCTATGACATATCAATTTTCAATTTTATTGTAAAGAACATAGCGTTTTATAAAAAGACTGAAGAAGATGCCGGATACCGACAGAATACGAATATTAGTTAAAATGCAAAATATTTTTGTTGATTATAGATATCAACAAATCCTTTTCCATAATTAAAGTATACATAATAACGGAGTGCGGGGTTTATGATTTCATATGAAAAGCGAAAAAAAAATTAAAAAATTACAGTTTTGTTATCGGCTTCTGCCGTCAACATTTACTTAATATAAAAAATTTGTAATCTGCACGTGCCTAACAAATGGACTCCGCACTCGGCATTTTGTCAAAGTGTATTAGTGAACTTCGAGAAGTGAGTTTAGAAGCTTTATAAAAACGATTTTACTATGCAAAATTTTGCACACCGAAATGTTTTTTACTAGGCTTCTAAATACATTTTTAGACGTTTACTTATATTCTTTTATGCATTTTCGAGTGGAGAGGTATCTTATTTTGCACGTACACGTTGCAAAACTTTTATATTAAGCAAATATATAATTATTATGGCCGGTAAAACAGAACGGTCCGGCATCCCCTGAAGGCTTATATTATAGTCTTCTTTACAATAAGGCTGAAGTATGACAATTATACAGGGTGATTTGATGAAAGGTTACTGACAAACTGCAGGAGTGTATAGAAAGATCGAAATATAGCAACTTTCGAATAGGAAATATATTTTCTCCGAAATAATCCTGAATCGATACAAGCCTTTGGCACGATTACGATAACTACGGCCCCCTATTTGAAAGGTCGTTTTTGAAAGCATTTTTGAAGAAAAACACGAGAAAAATAGTAAAAAAAATTTCCGACCAATAGTTTTCGAGATATATCACTTTAAAGTATTGGACATGATAATAAAACGTTACAAAACGGACCCAATGACCTTGACCTTGACATATGTTGTGAAGATTACTGTTGCGAGTATTTTCCATGTGTAGCTTAGAATCGTATGTACTACCAATGTCTTGCGTTGTTTACATTTTTTCGAATCTAACCCAATCCATCTCCCACCCACATAACAATTGTGGGGTGGATCTCGCTTCGCGTTGTAAAGTATATGCGTGGACACAGTGGGTTCCGCCCTCCCTACGGGGGGCTCCACTTCCGAAAGATATAACCTAACCCAAACCTATTTCTGATTTAAATCTAAAATTTGGTTTGGGTTACGTTATACAACCCAAACCAAATTTTCGTTTTGAATTAAACTTTAACTTTAAATATCTCAAAAATTATAAGAGACCGCCGATTAAGTTATAAGGAAAAGTTACTCAGGACAACATATGTCAAGGTCAACATCGTTTCTATAAAGTTTTATTATCATGTCCAATACTTTAAAGTGATATATCTCGAAAACTATTGATCGGAAATTTTTTTTACTATTTTCCCGTGTTCCTCGTCAAAAATGTCTTTAGAAACGATCTTTCAAATAGGGGGCCGTAATTATCGTAATTACCCCAAGCCTTTAAATGTAAGAAATTACATGTATGCTTTGAACATCTTTTGTAATACTGTACAATATTATTGTGTTCATATAAGGTAAATGTCCCAATGGCCGGACATGTCCCAATATCCGACCACATAGAAAAAAAATATTTACCGTTTATTTGAACAATTATAAATGAAAATAATAATTATTGTAAAAAAAACTCCAACATTTGACGATTAACTGGGGAAGAAAATAAACTTAATTTCAAATTTTTGTATTAAAAAAAATTGATTAAATAAGCATGTGTCTAAGGTTAGGCAAAATGATGGCCGATCGTTAACAAATTTGTTAATCGTAAGCATCTAATTAAATAGTATGAAAATTGGATATTTAATTATATTTATGAATAAATAATCGAATATCTAATTTCAAAAATTAATTAGAAACTCTCTTTGACGAAATTCATCATAAAAATCACAATTAAAACGATATTTTTAAGCGTTCGGAGACTGATACATTAAAAATACCAGTGGTCTCACTCGCCGGACGTATGTGTAAATAATAATAAAAAAAGATAAAAAGAAAAAAAGAGAACATAAAAGACTGTAAAAAATTAAAGAAATTGAAGAAAAGAAAACAGAAAAAGCTGAAAATGATACAAATAGAAGAAAAAATATTTTACGTGAACAGAAAAAGTCATTAAAAAAGTGTCAAAGAAAAATTAAACTTTATTTAACTAATTATATTATTATGTATTATTATTCGGTCTGTTATCTGCATGTTCGCTGATGTTAAGAAATTTAGCTTATAAATTAAATGCTCTGTTTTATGTTTCCAGATTATGCAACAAATTATTTTTATAATTTTTGACAAAAATAAAATATCATTAAGTATAAATACCAATTTAAATTAGAATTGTATTTTGTCATTAAATATCTATTTATATCAATATTTCTCGTCAGCATATTAATTTTCTAGTTATGGTCGGACACTGGGACAAGTTATGTCCGGACACTGGGCCGTAACCTATTTCAGCTGTCCGGCCACTGGTACATTGACGCGTTCCATTATTTATGTAAATATTTAATTAATAATTGATATATATGGGTTCGAATAATTTTTCCCTGCTTATGGGAATCTTAAGCTTTCGATTGAATGCAAATATTTATATTAAAAATCTTTCTAATATTATAAATTGTATTATTTGTGACGACCTACGCTTAAACGTCCGGCCACTGGGACATTTACCTTAATCTTTGCTTAGTTAAATTTTGTACAAATTAAAATTATTTCTTTCATTGGTATGTTGTCCATGGGTTCCTATTCGAAAGTTGTTATATTACGATCCCTCTATACGCTCCTGAAGTTTGTCAGTAATCTTTTGAATCACCTTGTATGAGCCAAAAAGGTTGGCAGCTCCTGATTCTCATAGAGATTTCGTCAGTTTATTTACAAAGAGGTGTAATTTTACAAGACACCAGACTCTTCGTAAAAGAATCTGCTAAACTCTTGTAACATGTGTCTTTCAGGATACGCTGTAACAGCGGGTGCTTATTTTAACGAGCGGGACATTTGGTATGCCAGCAGTGCGCCGAGAGGCGCCAATATGTACGGGAAGGTTCTCGTATTCGCTTTTCCTCCTAAAACTAATCAGCGCATATTTATTAAAACGATGGTATATGGTCAGCAATACGGCGAGTTCTTTGGCGCGGCGTTAACGTCATGCGACGTTAACAATGATCATAGACACGAATTGATCGTCGGCGCGCCGCTATGGTCCAGGGACATGGACGAGGGTCTCGTCTACATCTTTACGGGGCGACACAATGTATTTAATTTATGAATAATTTATGAGTACAGTATTTATGAATAAATATATAGCGGTGTGGATCTATCGAGAATCGGAGTTCAAGATTTAAGCTTCCGTTCGACATCGTTGAATAATTTCTCGAGTAAAAATTTTGATTAACAAAAAATTAGAATTGGTAAATATGCATATTAGGGGATTCATCCTCAATGACCTTGACCTTAACCTTGACAACATATGTCAAGGTCATGATCCTGAGTAACATCCAAAAGGTTTTAGCTGTCGCTCGTGGTTTATTAAAAAGTTATTAACAATTAAATTGTACGATAAGAACAAAAGTATTAAATGCGATAATATGAACTTTTCCGAGCATGAATTTTATATTAATTGTATATTTAAGTATATTTAAATAAATGCATGGGCAAGGGAGGAGCTCCGCCTTTCTCCCTGCACCACTACCCAAAAAAATTCTAACCAAAACCAATTTTTATTATTTAAATGAAGATTAGATTTGGATTTGGTAAGTTTTTTGAGGGGAGTGAGAGCAGAGGCGAAGCCCATAAAACATACATTTACTTAAATACTTAAATATACAACTAATATTAAAATTATGGTTCTTCAAATCGGAGAAGTTCAGATTATCGCCTTTAATACATGTTCTTATCGTACAATTTAATTATTAATAACTTTTTAATAAACAATGGACGACGGTTAAAACGTCTTGGCTTACTCAGGATCATGATCTTGGCAACATATATTAAGGTCTAAGTCATTAGGGTGAGTTCCCTAATATGCATATTTATCTTAGAATTAATCTAACAATAAAAAGAACGCATTGCATCGTTACGCATTTACGTCTCTGAAGAGCTTGATATTTATAAAATTCTTTTTATTTTTAGAAAAATCAATAAAATTATTCGAAATTTATATTTAAGATCTTTATTATAAATTATTAATTGATCTTAATTAACGGCAAAGATAAACAAAATTATAAGTGCTTAGAAGCAATAGAAATATAAGGAAATAATTTTGTAACATTATTTATAATAATTGATAAAAATAATTTTAGAAAAATGATTATAATTGAATAAAAAAGAATAGTTAATTAAGATTTTAATTCTTAAAAATAAAAAGTTATAGTAATCACAGTTTTCAAATTATTAAAAATGGATATCATTTAACATTGGTAAAGAAAGATAAAAAAATTATTAGAAAAAGATTAAGAAATATTAAAGATTTTAATATTAAATATTAAGTTTTTTCTGGAAATATTTTCATTAAGGACAGTATTTTTGGTGGATTTATTTATACATACAGGTTGAGTCATTTTAATCAACGCACGCAAATATCTCGTAAAGTAAGTTATATCTAAAGTAATTTCTCGATAGATACGAAAACGTGTTTTCTGTACAATAATAAAAAAAGGAACAAAAAATATATTCGATTATCGAAAAATTACATCTTTTCTTGCGTGCAAAATCCAGAACAATTTCGAAGAGCTGCAGACGATCGAGGGCAAGAACATCGGTGGCAGATTCGGAACTGCCGTGGCGTGTCTGGGCGACATCGACTATGACGGCTACGGCGATATCGCCGTAGGTGCGCCTTACGAGGACGAGAGTGGCGGCGCGGTGTATATATTCAATGGTAACAGGGACGGCGTCTCCCGTGAATACAGCCAGAGACTAATCGGCGCGCGTTTCTCGCCGATGATGCGAGGATTCGGGATCTCCATCTCGGAACCCCGTGACATCGACCGAGACGGCTATCCCGACATAGCCGTGGGTGCTTATCTGTCCGGCGAGGTGGTCCTGCTGAGATCCGCGCCGGTCGTCACGGTGAACGTGACACTGACGTATCCGCCGATCAGATTGCTGCGTAACGCAACGTCCTTCGTCGTCGATATCTGGATATCCTACGAGGGCGCATACGTACCCGAGTACCTGCGTAATTTTATATTTTATAAATATGTCATTTATGAATTTATTTATGTATATTTATTACTTATTTATTTTTATTATTATTTATTTTTATTATTACAGTTATATGTGTTGTAAATGTAAAAATTTTGTCCCTCAAACGTGTCACACCTGATATATTTAATCCCGACTTTTTGATCGCTCCGTATATAGTGCGCGTGATACGGTCTCTAAACTTTTTTTGTCAACACTGACGACGATAAGAGCCTCACACAAGCGTGTGAACTCTCTGCGTTTTCTAGCACGGATTATTGGAGAGCTTCGACCTGGATAATATAATAATCATAAATAATTATAATAATGATAAATAATAATAATATAATTAATAATAGTTTTTTAGCGTATCAAACTCATGTTATCTTTATATTTTAGAAGAACATTCGAAATATCATAGACCCGCTCGAGATATCGGCGTCTGTGCAGCTGGAGGACGATCTCGACGCGAGAAACGGAAGCTCATCGTCTTGCGCATCTTGCGTCGCGATAAACAAGCCTCACTCGAAAATCGAGGATCTCGTGAAACTCCCGTTCGCCCTGGATTGCGGCGAAGACAACGTATGCGTGTCCGACCTTCGGGTCGCATTGTCGACCGGAGATGACAGATACATCATCGGCTCCACATCGACAATCACACTACGCATCGACGCTTACAATCGGGGCGAACCGGCGTATCAGACCAAAGTGCGCATCTTCATTGAAGCCCTACCGTTAGCGAGCATCCCGCCCGAGTGTACGGAAAATCCTCGCGATATCCTGGAAGTGATCTGCGACATCGGCAATCCTCTGAGAATGAATGTACGATAATGCGCATTAGATAAAAGATTATTTTTGGATAACGATTTATTTTTCAGAAAACATTGACATTCCAACTAGACACGAGTATGATGAGGTACGACGTTAGACAAGTGGAATTGCGGGCGAATATCAGCACTCAGAGCGACGAGGCGAATTGGGATGACAATAGTTACGCGATCACCATATACTTCGACGTGGACATTGATATAGCAATCGCCGGGTTGGTATATCTCCATAACATAAATTGTAAGATTTTGTGTCTAAGGACAACAAATATATAATATTTGTAATATAATATAATATAATAATTTATAATATATATTTCTTCATCAGGAAAGCACAGGAGAATTTATACTCGTATTTACGCGATGAAGAAAGCGAGGAAAAACCGCTAAATAGTGTCAGATTCCAGCACTTCTACGAGGTTCAGAAATTCGGCACCAGTCCTATCGAGGAGACCGTGTTGACCGTGAAAATTCCGACGCACATTCAACGGTCGCATGATACTGGAAACATAGCAATCGTCAGTATCAACGACACTATTGGCAGAATGGATGCGTATCAATTTTATTGCAGTGATTCGAATGAAACCTACGGGCTCTCCGTCATGTCTGAAAGAATTGCGTCTACGGATAACGCGATCCTGGTGAAAAGCGCTGAAAATGACACGCACGCGAGATTCAGCATCGAGGAGGATTCGCCGATGTACGTGCCATCCGAGAACAGAACGTTATATGTCAATTGCACAAATAGCGCGATCGAATGCACGCGAATTGATTGCAGACTGGGACCGTTCCTGAGTTCCTTATCCGTTGCCAAGTTTTTGGTAACACTAGATCTGCAATTATCGAATTTTCCGGGTAAATATAATATCATATAGCTGAGAGATAAAAGAAAGAAAGTTCACATTCTTTGAATATTATCTACTTGTAGCTGACCTGATGAAGGGCAAGGATATCATATTTTATGTGACTGAAGGTAGCGTTACGATAACGCAACCTGATAATATCGCCCAAAGAGAGAGTCATAAACCGGATACTGTTTTGATTGCCACGACATTCTTGGGCTCGCCGGTTGCTCAACGAATAGCCGTGTGGATAATAGCGCTTTCAGTAATTCTAGGGATTGTATTGCTAATATTATTGATTCTGGGTTTAATAAAGATCGGCTTCTTTAAGAGAAAGCAGAAGATGGAACTCGAAGCCCTAAAAGCCGAGACTGACGTATGTTTAGCATTCTCGCAATGTAAATGAAACTTCTCGTAGTTCCTGATGATTAGACTTCGGATTATATGCAAATTGCATATTTGTTATTTTTTGCATATTTTACGAGAGCTCTAATAATATGGAGAAATTATAATATTTACATTTAATTAATATTAATTAATTTTTGCATATTTTGCATATTTACTCAATCTTTGCAAATTTTTACAAAGTTTGCATATTTACATAAATTTTGCATATTTTATTGCATATAATTGAATACAACTCTAATTTTTGCTTAAAATATCTATCCAAAACGGAAAAATTAATGAAGTAATATAAAAATGAAACCCTAGGTCACCTTACGTTTAAAATTCATTTTAAATAAAAGATATATAGAATTAAGAGAAACGTTTCTAGAACGCAATAAAAATTGGATTTCTACTGCTTTTCAGTAAAAATAAAAAATATCGTCAATCTCGAACTCATTTTTGTTTCTTGTATCATTTGTCTCCTTTTATTGTCTCCCGTGTCGTCATTTTTAATTCTTTTTCAACTGTTCTTGATGCTGAAACTCTGAGCTATTCATTCTTCCGTTAGACTCTGTGTGAAGTAAGTGAAATTATAAATTCGATAAATTATTGACGAAATAAATATGTCTAACAATAAGATATTAACATGGATTAAGCCATATCCAGAGCTTGTACTGGATGAAGATAAAGTATTCTGCAGAGCATGCGATAAAATTGTAAGTATCGAAAAGAAAACAATGTTTTTATTTAGCTATAGTAAAAAAGGATTCAAAAGTATAAATTTTAATTATTATTAAATTATCATTTTTAATTGTTGTAATAATTAATTATAAATTCTTTGTTGCTGCAATTATACGTAATTATTTTATTATATTAATCATTTAAAATTATAAATCAATATTAGCCTTATTTATATAATATTAAATATATTTTGAAATTTTGACTGTATATACAAGACATAAAATAATTCTGCAAATAAGAAATATTATTTTTATTTTAAAATCGCTGCTTCAGATATCCCGTGACAGAAAATATTTAATAGATCAGCACGCTAAGACTCCTTCACATATTGGAAAATGCGAAAAATTTAAAAAGTCTACTGCTCTTCACCAAACTTTAGGCCAATGCTTAAAAAATAATTCTAAACAGACCGAACAAGAAGAGTTCAACAAAGATTTATGTCAAGCTCTAGTCGCTTCAAATATTCTTTTAAATAAGTTAAACAATATAAATCTTCAATTATTTCTTTAAAAATATTGTAAACAACATATTCCTGATGAAAGTACATTACGAAAAAAATTTGTAAATTCATGTTATGCCGAAACAATACCTAAAATCAGACAGATTATAGGCAACAATTATATTTATTTTATAGTAGATGAAACTACCGATAGTTGTGGTCGGTATATTGCGTATTTATTGATAGATCTCTTTGCGAAGATAACGTAAGTAAGTCATATTTAATATCATCAAAACAGCTTGAAAAAACAAACAATTTAACAATAACTCGCTTCATTCAAGACGGATTGTCAGAATTTTTTTTACCCGAGCATGTGCCTTCTCAAAAAATTTTACTGTTATTGTCAGATGCCGCACCATATATGATTAAAGCTGGCCAAAATTTAAAAATATTTTATGAAAATTTAATCCACGTCAGTTGCTTAGCTCACGGTCTTAATCGTGTAGCTGAAGAAATTAGGAATCAATTTCCATTAATTAATGATCTGATTAAAAACGTAAAAAAAATATTTTTGGAAGCTCCTCTACGGGTTCAATTTTACAAAGAGCAACTTCCCAATACTCCACTTCCTCTTGAACCTATCTTCATGTAAAAAGGTAAAATTGGTGCAGCAATTTTTAAAAAATTAAATGACGTTCTGGAAGAAAATGTAGGTTACAAGCTACTAACTAAAATCAACAGAATTTTGAAAGGCGAATTAATTGCTAATGATGATAACGACATTAACTTTCTTATCCCTGAATTAATTAGTAAACTTAAAAATGCCCCAATAACATCTGTAGATATTGAACGTTCTTTTTCCATTTTTAAATATTTATTTTCTGACAGAAGGCATAGATTTCTTTTGGAAAATTTTGAAAAACATTTAATAATATATTGTTTTAACTCTCAATAAAAAATTTAATTTACATTTAATTTTCTTAAATATAAGTTTAGTTTAAATATAAGTTTATATGTACAAATAAAGTTTATATTTTTGAATATCGTGATTATTTATTTTGTATTTGTAAAATATATATTATTTGATTAAAGCTTCTTTTATTTTCTATTTCATTTTGCATTTATTCCTACAGATTTGAAATATTATAAAAAATAAATATTTATAGATTATAAATATATATCTGCATATTCTTTGCAAATTTGTACAAATTTTTGCATGTTTTTGCAAAAATCCGTGCATATATATGCGCATATTTTTTAAATTTTCCGTGCATATAATCCGAAGTCTACTGATGATTAATGTCAAGTACTTTATTGAAGTAGTAATTCGCATTTCAGAAAAAATATAACGTAGTAGTGGAAACAACATTTTCGACGGAAATTCTTGATCATGACTGAACGCACATGATTAATATATTTCCAATTTAGTATGTATTTTAATCAGTTCGTGATATGCATATGTATTTATTTTTTGATATAAGTAATAAATAACAAAATTGTCCATTACTTATGTAATTCAAATATTTTATAACCCACATATTTGTGTATAACTTTCTAGAATCTTATAAAATAATGAGCACATTATTTTATAATAGAGAGTATAATTTTAAAAAAATATATTCTTTACTACTTTCTCTCGGCTGTTAATCAACGGGGTGTGTTTATAAAAAAACTTATTTGATTTTTGTCTTAATTTCTATCTAAAATATGCAACAATAACCATTATTCTTAAATATTTAAAAATAGTTTTTAAAAGAAGCTAAAATTCTATTTATCATTTGCATGAAATTGATTTATACAAGATTCATGTATTCACTCGCGTGTATTTTATAGTTATCAATAAAAATAAGAATCTTTGATTCATCACGAGATGAATGAAAGCATCCAATTTCAAGGAAAAAGATAAACAAATCTGACTGAAACTGTTTGGAAAGTACAATTTAGAACCCGCTCGGTGTTATTAAATGTTTCTCTATCTGTACACACTATATATTTATATGTTTACAGTATGTTATACTGTGGACAATAAGGAAGATAATTATGGAGGGGAGGGGTGATGTGAAGGCAATTAACATACTATACACACATTTAAATAACATAGTCTATATTATTTGTTATAATATATATATATTACTCTCTGTAGAAGTAATTTTACTTCAACTAATTAGATAGGGACTATCAAGGGCACCAATACCTGCCACTATGCCGCCTTCGTCTTCGCTCGACGATTTGGTCCTTAAAATATGTCCAACTTGTTTATTTAGTATTATATTATTGCTATCCCTAAAAAAATATTATATTAATGTTGTTTATTAACAAATAATATGATTAAATGCGAGATATCTCTCCGCTTGCGCTTACCCTATTATCACTCCATATACGCCAAGTTCTGTTACAACCTCCGATAAATCAAAATTATCTTTTGACGGTTCTTCAACGGCACGTATCAGATAGTTCTTTTGTAATGGGGGAAAAATGCGATCCATGAGAATCCACGCCGTCCTCTCCTGAGAGTCTCTCATCGAACTCAACCATGTCCTTATATCTTCATTATATATGTTATTTCCTCCTCCTTCTCTTTGTGGTTTGAGAACAAATTTGTTTGGATTATTTATACCCATTTCCACTGCTTTTTCTCCATCCTTATTCTGTTGAAACAAATATATTTAAACGTATCATTTAAACATATTTAAATGAAAAATTGTGTTAAAAGTTATGATTTGCATCTAAATATTAAAGAAATGCTTCGATTAATAAGTTACTTACAAAGTCTAATGTATATAATCCAGTAAATATTTCTTGCACTCTAGCAACAGATGTTTCATCTTTTAGAAATTTTTTCAATACACTGGATTGAGTCAAAGATTGTTGTACCTAAAAACAAGATGATTTTAAAAATATTTTATTTTATTCTGATATTATTACAAAATTCTTATTTCAGTTATAATAAATATAAGTTGATCTTTGTTGTTTGGATGTACATTTAATGCTTAATATCATTTAGTACAATTTAATATAACATTTAATATAAATAATTAACATTTTATGTAAATAATAAGTTTTTTTATGTATGTGCTTGACACTCTTGCCTATGCAAATGATTGAAATAAAATACATACTTTTTTAGTGCCTGCTAAATGATATTGTACTGATGGACATTTTATTGCTTGAGAACGTTCAATTAACAATCTAATATCCCATTCCTTTTCTGTAGGATAAGCTTCGAGTTCATAACCAGAACGATAATAAACTACAGCCACTATCATATTTGCACTAAAATAATTCAATGATTCAGATTTGCAGTATTTCAGATATTTATATTTTTTATTCAACATTTTTTATATTCTTTTTAAAAATATTATCTTTTTTCTTCTCGAAAGATTTTATGTATTTTATGTAAACTTTGATACAATTTAAAAAATGTAAACTATAATTCAGATGTGTGTGTATGTGACAACTTACACAATTAATTCCTTATTTGGTCCCAGTTTTACTTCCTCCAATGTTAAGCTTGTTAAACTTCTTCTAATAATCTTTATCTTAGGACATAACTGACGAATTTGAAATTCGTGAAATCTTTGATCACATATATTATAAGTCACATCCTCAACAATAAACAATATAATAGCTCTAGAATACAGAGAACATTTTTGTTCATAAATTTTATTTATGTAAATATAGGATTTCTCTAGAATAAAAAATCTGTTTTATATTCTTCAACTTACTCTGTATTATTGTATAATTCCCATGCATGTACCAGTCCCTCACAAAACCCAATAATGGCATTGTTTTCTGGAATCTTATATATAATAATGATAATTAATAAGTGATAATATACACAAAACATGTTAAAAATATTGCAATATCAAAATAATACAAATTCCTAGACAATTATACTTTTTAAAGATAGTTGTAATAACTTACTTGTTCACATGCTTCCTTGGTATATCCCAATTCTCCTAATATATATCTAAAATAAATATTTTTATCACATTATAAAATATATATATATATATATATATATACAGAGTGTCTGGTAAATTTTGACACACCCGAAGTGTGAAGATAGATTGGGCCACACTGAGTCGAAAAGTCCTGAACCATTTTTTTTGATAACGCTTAATAAAGAAGTTATTATTGAGTAAAGTTTGAAAATTCTGTAATATAAATTTTTACATTATGCTTAACTATTGTGCTTACCTATGATATCGAGATGTAACAGTAGCCAAAGCAGCAAAGCTAGTTGCTACCGTATTTATTTCAACTTGCTTTATCTTACAGCTATCATCGTGTAATAAATAATCTGATCTTAGTAATCCAAGACTTATGCTCTATAAAATTATAAGAGTAAGATATATTTTGTATTTTGCATTCTATATTTTTACTAATATACAAGATTTAATTTTGTATACCTGGCTAAAACCTTCTTCGTATACTATCTCGTATATGCGAAACAATTTTGCTGTAAATGGATCGGCTTGGATTGTGCTAAAATAAATATATAATGCTGTGTTAAAAAAGATGAGATAAAAAATTCTGATATATAAACTCACAATACCTTTTTAAACTATTTGTAAGAAATTCCTTATCATAGGCAACCTTGTAAATAAGTTCATTTAATAAAACTTGTACACTTTTTACAGTAAAAAAAGGTTTCTCAGGAAAACTCGATGGTATCAGCGTAAATGGTAGTAGTTGTACTTGATCTTTATTATAATTCTTCGTGGATCGCATAGATATCCCTAAATAACAAAATATCACATATATCTGTGTGTTATCAATTATTATGATAATTTTAGATTTATATTATTTTCAAATATTTATAGCTAAATCTATAAAATAGCAAAAACAACCACTTGTTACGTCATGTGTTTAATTACTAGGTGTGACTTAGTTGTTATCAGTAATAAGATATCATTACCGTGCATAAGGGTCCAATCTATCGCTTTATCTATGCTTTCTCTCAATTTCTCCTCCGAAAGAGGAAGCTGAATACAGGGCTTTAATCGATAGGTAGTCATGATAAAATCGAATCGAATAATAATTTACGTTATCATATGTTATTGTCACGATGTGTGTGCAATCCCAACTATAAAAATAATGTCAACACTGTTCACGAACGTGTTTGAATAACTTCCTCTTCTTCGGTCTATTGGCAAAATAAAGATCTATCCATACGGTTATAAACAAACGATAATAAGATAAAATCTTTATGAGATTTATACATACGATCTTTTTAATTTTCTAAGAAGTAAATGAGATGAAAAATAAGAGCACACAGGTATATGAATTTACATATCCACTTCCGTCCGCTTTTCTGCGCAGCAGGAAGTTAATAGGTCTGTTCTTTATAGCTGAACTGGCTGCACTAGTTCAGAATTTATCTTTTTCTCTCCACATTAGAAGAAGAAAGATAAAGTCTGAACTGGTGTAGTGTATAGTCAGTTCAGCTCAGTTCGGCTATAAAGAACAGACCCATAGACATAGTATATCTAGACCGAGCGTTTGCCTTTATTTAAGGAGTGGGGGCTCCTACTCCTTAACACTCGGTCTAGATATACTATGTCTATGAACAGACCCAATGTCAACAGCTGTTCGAACTTTGGCTGCGTTCCGTTTCATGCATGATGCACATGATCAGAGAGAAGAATGAGAGTCGCCACGCTGCCGTTTTTCGTGT